TGTCAAGAGATATAGGTATAGATGCAGAGGTAAATCTGTTCTCATTTTTTGGATTCTTATTGAATGGTATTTTACAAGAACAATGAGGTCATAGGTAAGTAAAGTTGAATATGACATGAATTGAATGAAAGTTCCAAAATAATGCAAATATAACTCAAAGTTTACATGAACTGATTGTTATGTATTCATCACACTGACTCCATGTAAAAATAAAATGAATAAATACTGGGGTATTAATACTAGTATACTAGTAGCACATCTTTATTAATACAAAAATGTAGTAACATTAATCTCATGGTTCCTTATAGAATACAACATGAATTGCAAAATAGTAGAGAAATACATTTAAACAAAACTTTTATGAGAAAAATATAATTGTCTTATTTTGGTGCCAAAAATAATTGACACTGCATATGAGGGTTACTATGCTATCTAAGTGACAGATCGTTAAGAATATACCGTACATACCTCTTGGTTCTCATAATCAGCATATAATAAAATGTTATTTCTGCACTTACTTTTATGTTAATTTATTTTTGCTCAATTTTCACATACATCTTAAAAATTATACATGATACAGTAGTCGCACTAAAATTAAAGTAAGTTTTAACCCCAAGTAACAAAGGTTTAAGACAAGAAAGAGGAGGAACACATGTTCCCCTCATAAACCTTTCCTTCAATGATGATACATGCAAGGTAAAAATAAATTATCTGCATTCTTACACATGTATGTTTTTTTTTTCTTGACTTAATTTGAACTTTAAAGCTAATCTAATCTAATCTTATCAGTATCAAATTGCATCCAATTACTAAACTAACCAAACTTGAAATATACTGAGATTATACGTTCCTGGATAATATTTTAAAGTTTGAGAAAGACTGAGCAAAAATTCCTTATCCTGGCAACAAGAAGTGCTAGCGCAACCTCACCACTTCATTATCATTACTTAAAAGGTGAAAACTGAAAACTACAAGATTTAACATTTACTGTCAGCAACATGTGCAGATTATTGCGATCCTCAAATAAAATCCGGGTCTCACAGACTGTTAGTGAGTGGTAATTCTGTTAATTCCATTTCTTTTATAAGATCCATATGATTAAATTTGTCTGGTTGTTTGGTAAATGTTTCCAACAATTGCTGCTTAGTTACACTATCAGACCCATAGTACATCTGAAGCTGGTTTGCCAAGAATTGAGCTTCTTGAACTTTCTGTAAAACAAACAAACAAGAAAGACTTAAACTGAACTGTACCGCCAATAACAGTAAACCTATTTGATTAACACATCAGCTGCTGAAAACCTCTACAAATAACCTATATAAATAGTATGTAACAGCTAGGTGATGTGAAGCACAGAATATATAGATCTCGTATGCCCTAATTTCACTTACCAATGTTTTAGTATCATGCTCTCCATGCATCAATACAATTCCTGAAAATAGGAAAACAGAAATCATGAAGACTTGTGTGAAATCCTCAATTACAAGTTCACTGCAACAACACATGGACTCACAAAATTCATCTCCCATTATTTACTCATAGCCTGTAATATAACATGCTATCTATCTCTTATTATTATATCTGACACAGACATGTTATGAATGACGATCTATTTAAATGTCTTCACTATTTTAAAAATGTGTATCACATTTATGTCACATTCTAATAATTTCCCTTGTTAAAATCAGATGCAGAAGCCCTATAGCATGCAACGGAATGTGGGCAGAGATAGACGAGCTGTCTGGACTGTGTGGGCAGAGATGGATTAACTGTCTTGACTGTGTGCAGGCAGAGATGGATTAACTGTCTTGACTGTGTGTAGGCAGAGATGGATTAACTGTCTTGACTGTGTGTGGGCAGAAATGGATTAACTGCCTTGACTGTGTGTGGGCTGAGAAGGATTAGCTGTCCTGACTGTGTGCAGGCAGAGATGGCTTAGCTGTCTTGACTGTGTGTGGGCAGAGATGGATTAGCTGTCTTGACTGTGTGCAGGCAGAGATGGCTTAGCTGTCTTGACTGTGTGCAGGCAGAGATGGATTAGCTGTCTTGACTGTGTGCAGGCAGAGATGGCTTAGCTGTCTTGACTGTGTGCAGGCAGAAATGGATTAGCTGTTTGGACTGTGTGCAGGCAGAGATGGCTTAGCTGTCTTGACTGTGTGTGGGCAGAGATGGCTTAGCTGTCTTGACTGTGTGCAGGCAGAGATGGCTTAGCTGTCTTGACTGTGTGCAGGCAGAGATGGATTAGCTGTCTTGACTGTGTGCAGGCAGAGATGGATTAGCTGTCTTGACTGTGTGCAGGCAGAGATGGCTTAGCTGTCTTGACTGTGTGCAGGCAGAGATGGATTAGCTGTCTTGACTGTGTGCAGGCAGAGATGGCTTAGCTGTCTTGACTGTGTGCAGGCAGAGATGGATTAGCTGTCTTGACTGTGTGCAGGCAGAGATGGCTTACTGTCTTGACTGTGTGCAGGCAGAGATGAATTAGCTGTCTGGACTGTGTGCAGGCAGAGATGGATTAGCTGTCTTGACTGTGTGCCGGCAGAGATGGATCAGCTGTCTGGCCTGTGTGCTGGCAGAGATGGATTAGCGCTCTTGACTGTGTGTGCAGGCAGAGATGGATTAGCTGTCTGGACTGTGTGTGCCGGCAGAGATGGATCAGCTGTCTGGCCTGTGTGCTGGCAGAGATGGATTAGCGCTCTTGACTGTGTGCTGGCAGAGATGGATTAGCTGTTTGACTGTGTGCAGGCAGAGATGGATTAGCTGTCTGTACTGTGTGCAGGCAGAGATGGATTAGCTGTTTGGACTGTGTGCCCGCAGAAATGGATTAGCTGTCTGGACTGTGTGCCTGCAGAAATGGATTAGCTGTCTGGTCTGTGTGCAGGCAGAGATGGCTTAGCTGTCTGGACTGTGTGCAGGCAGAGATCGATTA